GGGTATGGAATCATCAAATTGCGTTGCCGTCATCTGAAGTACACAGTCGTCTTCTCCTCGCTTCGCGGGACTCGCATCCGTTCTAATAAATCCAGTTTATATAGTTCGTTCATTTAACGCTTTAATATCAGAAAGTTAGTTGATCTAGAGGTGTACGAAATCATTTCGTTTTTATCTACGGTATTTAAAAAGCTCTTTGGCGAGTACCGAAAGTTACAATGTCCGGGTTACAATGAAGTTGTAATGAAGCTGAGTAGCCGGTTGCCGGAAAAAGACTTCAAATGAACATGGCAACGGGCCCGGCCCCCGGGCTTTTCGGCCCTAAAACTTGGTGCATGCGGCCGGGCCGACGGGGCTCGGCCCCACTTCCGGCGGGGCCGGGGCTCGGCTTTGCTCGACCGCCCCGGGATAAGCCAAAATGGGGGCCGAGCCCGTGGCCGCAAGGCCGCACTCTAATCAGAAATCCCGGTTGTATAGCACTTTCAGTCAAAATATTCAGGCAAATTGGAAAAAATGATTTTTCAAAGGTTGCCATACATCTCCATATCTATTGCGTCCAGATCATAACGGGTTCAGACCTGTATTTTAGTACTTTTGATAGTTGGGACGAATTATTAAACAAGTTCAATGAAATTTACCGATACCGATGTCCTAAACTGCACCAACGCACATAAAATTTTCATTGGAAATTTCCATCATTAACATCCGGAATATAGACGCAAATGAGCTATTTTCTTTTCCGAGGCTGCGAATCGTTGAGCCAACCCGGAAAATTCGGCCAGGCCGGGCTCGGCCCTCAAGATTTGCATCATTTTTCCAGGGGCCCGGAAGTGTGTTTTTTCATGTTAATTAGATTCCAGGCCCGGCCGGGGCTCCGGCCGCCGGGAATTGCCATGTCTGCTCCAAACCAAGACAAAATCCTTATGCACTGATTGACACTTTCTGAATTTCATGTTTTTATGCAAATTAACCTAGCCATGAGTACATTCCAATAAATATCTGGATTTTTCACTCTCCGAGGTTTTGGGCTTTTGATTTTTCCGACGCATGCAGGTGTGCAGAAGGCAAATCGGGGCCAAGGCTGATACCTCTGGGCTCCCCGTAAGGTCAGAAGAAAAAAATCACGATGATGAACATCTGCGGGTTCCCGCGCATTTGATGTATATATCAGGAGGTCACCCTGATTCCTTTTTTTTGGATAAGAAATCTGATACTTGTTTGGTTCACTAATTTTCTAGTTTTGGCTCAAGCTACTTCGCTTTCAAATTCTATAGATACGACACATATTCGTTTTAGAAATGAAACTCGAGGAAACTGATGGTTCCAAGAAGTCATTGGATTCTAAGCCCCTCCCCCGTCGCCCCGAAGTACGAGAGGTCAGCAAACACAGCGCTGTTAGAGTTATCAGAATTTACATTTACAGGGTGTCCCAATAAAAAAAGTCACGCGGGCATTTCGCCATTTCAAATCTGATCGACCTGAAATTTGGAACAGGGCTGCGGAAAGGACTTTAAAATGGTGCTCTTTCAGCCCGATCGGTGCTGTAGTTTTCGAGTTATAGCAAAAATACCATCTTCCAACACTTTTGCTTCATTTTTTCAGCTATCTTTTTGGACATTGCATCAATTAACATCAAATTTTGGCCCTAAATCCCTCATTCTTCTTAAGATCGGGGTTGATAACACCTTGTTAAAATTTCTGAAACAACCTATTTCCGAGACGAATTTTACGAAATAAAAAATTTTCTGAGGGTAAAAAGAGTGGGCTTCATTTTTGTCGTACATTCCTTCCAAGGCTCAATTTCGGCGAAATCTAGGTTAAAAACGCAAAATAAAGTTTATTTTTGCTATAACTCGAAAACTACTATACCGATCTGGCTGAAAGTTTCTGTGAACATTTTAAATACCATGCCGCAACTCGGTTCAAAATGTCAAGTCGCTCGTATTTGAAATGACAAAATGCCAGCGTGACCTTTTTTATTGGGACGCCCTGTATACCGTGCTCGAATTTACAACCGCCGTTTCCAGGGATTAGAGCTTCTCGTTGGCATTTCATGGCCCCTGATCATAACCGTCGTCTTCTATTCTGCCCTGATATTCCGGACGGTGGTGCTGCAGGACGGCCCATCGATTGAGTGGATTTTTACGGTAAGCAGATTTTTCTGTGATCAATGAACTTAATTTTTACAAATGCAGTATTTTCCGCTTTTTCAGAGCTTTCTGAGACTTTCCGCGATTCTGATTCCGGCCCTCATCGGATTTGTGGCCGGGCACACTGGCAAACCGATCATCGGGACGTTTTCTCTCGGTGTAATGGTAAGATAACCCAGTACGACTCTTTATTACTCCTCCAGATGACGCTTCCCTCGCAGTGGCAATGGGCAAGTGAATACTACCCCAAGTAAGTTATCTGCGAACCAGGATCCAAAAAAACCGCTTCGCGGTTTTGCACACCCAAGGGGGCTTGCACATATTTTTTGCTATAGAAAGCTAAAAACCACTTAAAATCGCAGTGTCAAGCATAAACTTTATCTTTTTATGCGCTTTCAACACATTTAGCATCGGAATGCGGGCAGCTATTAAATATCTACCACCTCTTCTACGGGCTGATGAATCTGGTCCGGTCGTTGTGGCTTATCATGAGATTGCGATCTTCTGCCTCATGGTCATCATTATGGCTGTCAATTCGGCTGGTATCAAGGCTTTCGTTTACCTTCGGTATGTCTATGTGTCATCCAGTCTAACGTACGGGTTACCATAAGAAAGCTGATAATTCCTGTATTTAAATATATAATTTAGAAAGCGATCTATGAAGCAGGAAACGTGCGCCACTGATGGGGATCGGAATGCTATCGCCGTCAAACCTTGAAGATCATCCAAAACGTTTAGAAATATATTACGAGCTTCATTTTTCTTTTTCCCTATGTTACGCAACTTTTTAATAAATAAATTTTACTTTTACGACGACGCGGGCAGACCACCCATCCATTAGAAACAAATCCGGTCGGTTTGGCGGGACTCGCATCCACTCTAATATCAGGTTGGTAGATAAGTCCTGTCACAATTTTTTGAAAGCGCCCTAGAAAGCCGCAGAAACGTCGGATTTTCACTTTCGATACATGATTTGATAGATCTTGGGACGCGCTACTTCGGGAAAACACGCTCTGGACCCCAAAGTGGCTCGCCGTCGAGTTACAGCTCCGGGAAGTTTTTCATAAAATCTTGAGAAAGCTATTTAGCGTGCTATCTCTGCATAGAGCAATTTGAATACGATACCGTTAACGACAATCGATAGCTATCGAGGAGTAGATATCGATAGATGTTGAGATCATCAAAATTGGACACCGGATGGCCGAGATACGGGCCTTTCAAATTTGGTCCATTTCTTAGAACTTTTTCCGAATTCCCATACATTTAGACAAAACCTTCTCCGCGCGCTCAAAACTGGCAAGTTTTGTCCGAGATGCGTAAAATGTATGGGATTCCGGGAAAAGTTCTAAGAAATGGGCCAAATTTCAAGGGGTCTTATCTCGGCCATCCGATGTCCAATTTTGACGATCTCAACATCTATCGATATCTACTCCTCGAGGGCTATCGATTGGCGTTGAAGGTATCGCATGCAAATTGCTCTATGCAGAGATAGCACGCTAAATAGCTTTCTCAAGATTTTATGAAAAACTTCCAGGTGCTGTAACTCTGCGTCCTCTAACTTTTCGACCTTGTGCGGCAGCTCCCATTATAGAGCAACCCAAGACCTATCAAATCAGGTATCAAACGTTAAAATGGGCCGAGTCTGCGGCTATATAGAGAGATTTGAAAAATTTGTGACAGGACTTATTTACCAACCTGATATCTCCATTGATACAATTCTTTCACTAATTTCATCCTTGTCAAACAGTTAGTTGATCTAGCTGTGTATGAAATCATCAAATTGCTTTGCACGTCATCTGAAGTACACCGTCTTTTTTTGGAAGCGTTGTGTGCAGTCTGCTGCTGCTACGGTGACCATTTTGGCTCTGCTTTAATCAGCCTGTTTTGGCACCACCTGCCTGCCAATTTTGGGCAGCTGCAAGCCCGCGCCGCCCGGAATGCTGAGTAAACGAGCATTCCAATGTTTTACCCATCAGAGCAGGAGCAATTATGGATTCTTGTGGCTGGCTACGGTATCTGGCTGATCGGAATGGTTGTCTTCGTCCTGACCGTTTATTTCATTGCCAGCGGCAGGGCACCGCTCTCGCGAGAATATAGACTTGTGCAACTCAATTTGGTGGTGAGTCTAGCCAATTTTAAAGACCGTCAGAACGATGAAATATCGTTTCGAGCAAGAAACTTGCGCACCGGGCGGGGGTCGAACCCGCGATGGTTCGCTTCACAGTCCGACGCGCTAGCCACTATACCACAGGGCCAAGTGGGAAAGGGAGTCAGAGGCGTCCCAAATCCCAGAGGGTCTTTGCCCAATACGGGACATCACTAATGACGACCCTCTCTGCGCGTTCTTGGGGGCAGCACCCTCGGGGTGACAGTGCGCGTTCCATCGTTCTGGTAGTCTTTAAGATTTATACCGTTCTCTGCTGTGCAAAAACAAGAAACGAACGAGCCGGGTAACACTACAGGGTGGACCAGAATGACAGGGTGACCCAAAAAAGACACCCGCTCTAACTCGACGCAGAAGTATCAGATCGGAATGATAGTTACACCCAAGCCCGTAGCGCAGGCGGAATTTCGGGAGGCTACCCCCTCCCCTCCCCTCGGTCGTCACTTTTCAAACACTCCAAAATCGCGGCTAACGCAGCGCCGCAGGCGAAAACAAATGATCAAAGAGTGTTCGTTACGATCAAATTGGCGGGCAAACACCATAAAACAGGCGCCGCAGGCGAACAATTTTCTAGACAATTGATGCACTAATGGAAAACCAGCGCCGCAGGTGAAAAATTTTGGAAAAATAAGCTTTCTCGACGTAAAAACTGCCTTAAAAACAGTAATAAACAGCGCCGCAGGCAGAAAATTTTTTATAAAAAAAATCATAAGGGTCCCCCCTTATGAACTTTTCGGACCTCGACCGATTTCGGGGGCTGGGCCTCCTCCTACGGGCCTGGTTACACCATTCGAAAGCCCTTGAAACGGCGTGTTTGCAACAAACTTCAAAGCGATGTTTTTTGTATTTAGATACGCCACACGCCATTTTGTAATATTGTGCAATTCTTCGGGCAACCGAACTTGCATCAATTTCCGCAAGCAAAATGACCGGAAGTAGCCGCTAATTAGATGCAGAGACCTTTCCTGAAGGTTTTTAAATACGTTGTAAAATGGCGCATTTAAATAAAAACACGGTTTTGAAAATTGTCGCACACTGGCCGTTTCAAGGGCATTCGAACCGTGTAACTATCGTTACGATCAGATACTGATGCGTCGAGTTAGAGGGTCTTTTTATTCTTGTTGAACAGATTGCCGCCGAGCTAGCCGAGACCACAATGACCACCCTGCAGCCGATCATCTACGCCCCGTACACCGCTGTCAAGCTTCTCGGCACATTTCATTTCACCTATTTTCAGCTGCACGTTGTCTTGGTATAGAAATACCCTGATTTCTCCGCCAGCCCCCTATTTAGAGCCTGTACGGAACGTTATTGGTGCATTCGCTATGTGCAATGTTCTACAGCGGAGTTGTGAGGACCGTGCAGGCCTCACAGAAACACCAGCGTTTTCAAACGCACGCCAGGCTTTATCTGCTGACACTTTACGGCGCCACGGTGGGGGGTGGTAATTTCGTGGTATGGTACGCATATAATCAACACTATTTGATTAATGATGCCACGAAGGTTGGTTTTTTTAGTGAGGCTGCCGGCCAACTGGATGTCCCAAAAATAGAGGTCTCTCTCTCGGTTTTGGGGGGTAGTGACTTTTCGGGATAGTGACCGGATGCCTGCATATATCAATCGAAAAATAGCGAAACTGCGACGAACGAAAAAACGGCGAATATTTTAAGATACTTAGCGCGTTGATTAGGACGGATGGCTGGAAAATGCGGGCTGGGTGGTTTCCTAGACTCTTACCAAAGTAATTGCAGATCTGTCGTCTGGAGCATGTCCTTTGCGGGGTTGATGGCATATATTTTCTGCAGCACGTCCACGAACACAATGTGATCACAAACACCGTGTTCGCCGTGTTCCTTCTGACATGTGCCCTGTATCTATTCGTATGTTTTTTGAACATCAAGGACTACTTTGACGTGAACACGAATCGACTACTCAGCAAGCGTACCCGTCTCATGCACCGCTATTGCTGCCTGATCTTTCTACTGCAGGTACGCATTCCCTGACTCTGGACTGTTAGCGGGGGGGGGGAGCCGAATTTTTTCCTTTTATTCTCTCCGGCCCTAAAACAAAATATAAACCATTTTATAGCAATGTCTGCCAAAAAAGTATGAAAATCGACCGAAAAGTTCCAAATTTCCGAATTTTCAAAATTTTCAAAATATTTGTGATAATTTAAAACAATCAAAGTTCTTTTCCCCCCTGCTTAATCTTCCGCCCCCGTTAACAGTCCAGTACCCATTCACTGAAATTGCCGTGTACGCGCTGTGCTTTCAGTCGTTGGTGCTCTATCTATTCTTGGTGACTCCAATTATGGTCGTGTTTTTCGTCTGCCTAGAATATATACGCTGGGATAAGATATTTGTCGGTAGGCATCTATGGTAATCTATTGAGTCTGGTTTGAAGCGGTCGGAGTGACGTTCGTCTGGCCTGGTATCCATAGTTTCGCCAACAATCTGGTCATCTTGCTGGCCAACGCCACGTATAGGAATGCGATTATAGAGTGCTTACGCAGTTTGTATATGGTACGTCGAATTTGCTATCATAATGCCAGTATTCAAAATGTCGAATTTTCATAAGGTCGAAATTTGAGAATGTCGACATTTCCGGATGCCGAATCAGGATCGTAATTTAAAAATTTTTACGTCTTTTCTGAAATGAACGACAGCTTTTTTTGAAAGCCGTTTGCGAGAACACGGCTGGATAGCGCTTTAACAGGTTAAATTGGGTTTTTGACAAAAAGGATGTCCCTTTCGCAGCAAAAATGACGAAAATCGACGGGAGAGGGGGGTGATTTGTTGGGTCCTTGTGGATCGTCCGTAAGAAACTACTGGGTGTCCCAAAGAAAAAAGCACCCCCCTCTAGCGGACCGGGGGGGGGGGGGGAATCAGAATAGGATGATTTTTATACCATTCGAATGCCCGCGAAAAGGCGAGAAAACACGTGGCTGTTTTTCTAAGATTTAGTCTTATTCGTCCAATATTCAACGTTTTTCTAAAAAAAACAGGTGGTTTGGCAATAGGAATTTCGCAATTAGCATGCAGATCTCGCGTAAATCTGCCGTTTTCATGGTTTTTGGAGGTAAAATTCCCGAATACATAATAAAGAAAAGGAACCCACATTGTTTTTTTGCCTTTTCGAGAGCTTTCGATAGATACCTAAACGGCGTGAATCGGACACGACTGCGCGCCGCTAGAAGGGGGCTTTTTTGGTACACCCTGTACACCAATTCTTTAGAAGCTGAACCCATGGGCTACTGCTTCAACCGTATCCGTTACATCGGAAAAATGGCGGGCGTCTCTGCGGGCTATTAACAAGTGGCCCACACCACTGGATCTTGCCCACGTCGGAGATTTTGTGGACGGACAACAGGGCGCAAAATGACCTTGTGCATGTGAAATATAAATCGAAACCCGGGTGTTTGGGTCTGACAGGTGACGGCCGAAGTTTTACCGTTTCCGGCGCATGGTAAGCGTGTAAGCGTAAGGATAAAGCTGTGGCAGCGGTGATCCTACCTTATATAATTTTGGCGTGTCTGTCCGGATGTCTGTATG